AGTAAGGAGTGTGGTTTGCAAATCCCTCCCCTTACTAGCACTGATGATGTTACCTAGTTGGGTCATGAAACGTCTGCAATAAAACCACCAAACTCAGAGAGCACCAAGGACCCCACAGTTTTTCCTCCTCCTCCTCCTCCTCCTCCTCCTCCTCCTCTTCTTCTTCTCCACAAACCCTTCCAGCACTGATGGTATTACCTAGTTGGGTCATGAAACGTCTGCAATAAAACCATCAAACTCAGAGAGCACCAAGGACCCCACATTTCAATCCTGAGCTACAAATATCCTCCTTTATTGGCAAGCATTAATAAAATTAATTAATAAAATTAATAAACAGCCTCATAAGAAAATACAGCGACTTCAATTTCAGGACACCCTAATATTCATTGGAAGTATCAGGTTCAACTCACCCATGTTTTCTTCTCTTGAAAATCAATGTCCATTTTTTTAGTCTTCTCCAAAGCAGCCTCCAATTTATTTTTGAGGTCAATGGCTTGTCTGAGCCGATCATCGCTTATCCCAGCCCTGGTGAATAACTACAAATTGCAAAATTGGTTAGTTCCTCTGAGATGACCCACGCGTTTCAGGCACCGCCCAGAAAAAACAATGGTGATTTGCAATACTTAACTGCCAACATCTCATCTGTTTATTTCAAATTGACAATGAGGATGCAGGGTAAGATAAGGAGCTAAAATCTAAACATGTTTTACAGGTTCTCCTCGACTTAGGACCAACAATGGAGCCCAAAATGTACATCACTAAGCAAGACATTTGCTAAGTGAGTTTGCCCCATTTTATGAATTTTCTTGCCACGATTATTAATGAATCACTGCAGTTGTTAAGTTAGTCACACGGTCGTTAAGTGACTCTAGCTTCCCCACTGACTTTGCTTGTCAGGTCGCAAAAGGAGATCATGTGATCCCGGGACACTGCAACCGTCGCAAGTACATGCCAGTAGCCAAACTCAGGGAGAAACAAAAGCTGTTTTGGTCCACAAGGTCTGAACAACACTAACATTACAGAATGAAAGCAATGCAACTTCATTCTTAACTTAATAAAAACTGCTTACCTGAATCCAAGACTGCACCAATGGCAAAAATTTATTTGTTATGAGCTTAAAACTATCCGAAAGGTTATTTATGATGGCTGCATTGTCTTCATTCTCGCTCAGTTTCACATCTAGCAGGAACAAAAGAAGTCAACAGATCAAATTTCTCTCTCTGGATTCTTGTGCATTTCTTTCTCTCTCTCTCTCTTTCTCTCTCTCTGTATATAGTGTATATACATACATACATACAATGTGCATATGTACACACACACACACGAGAGAGAGAGAGAGAGAGAGAGAGAGAGAGAGAGAGAGAGAGAAAGAGAAAGAGAGAGAGAGAGAGAGAGAGAGAGAGAGAGAGAGAGAGAGAGAGAGAGAGAGAGAGAGAGAGAGCATTGATAAATTCAGTAAAAAACAGTATAACAGTTGGAAGGGACCTTGGAGGTCATCTAGTCGAATCCCCCGCTCTCATAGGAGACCTATACTATTTCTGACAGATGGCTGCCCATTTTCTTTTTAAAGGCCTCCAGTGTTGGGGCACCC